GCCAACAGTGTGCGCTTGCAGCACAGAAAGCAAACCGTATCCTGGGCTTCATCAAGAGAAGTGTGGCCAGCAGGTCGAGGGAGATGATTCTGTCCCTCTACTTCGCTCAGGTGAGACCCCCACCTGCAGTACTGTGTCCAGTTCTGGAACCCCCAGCACAAGACAGATGTGGATCTGCTCGAGCGAGTCCAGAGGAGGGCCTCAAAGATGATCACAGGTTTGGAGCACCTCCCCTATGAGGACAGGCTGGGAGAGTTGGTCATGTTCAGCCTGCAAAAGAGAAGACTCTGGGGAGACCTTCCAGCAGCCTTCCAGTACTTAAAGGGGGCCTACAAGAAAGTGAGGAGGGACTCTTGATCAGGGAGTGTAGTGATAGGACAAAGGGTAATGGTTTCAAAGTGAACGAGGGTAGGTGTAGGTTAGCTATTAGGAAGAAATTCTTTCCTGTGAGGGTAGCGAGACAATGGAAGAGGTTTCCCAGAGAAGCTGTGGCTGCCCCCTCCCTGGAAGTGTTCAAGGCCAGGTTGGATGGGGCTTTGAACAACCGGGTCTGGTGGAAGGTGTCCCTGCCCATGGCAGGGGGGGTTGGAACTAGATGATGTTTCACGTCCCTTCCAACCCAACCCATTCTATGATTCTGTGGTATTATGTGTTGTAAAACAAAAAAACCTTGCTTCGTACAATAGGTTTTTTTAATGTACAGTGAAGTATTTGTTTTAGTTGACATTTGCTGTGAAGAAGAACAATGTTCTGAACTCCGTGGTTTCAATGCTTTGAGTCTCTGGCAGCTAATAGACTTTGAATTTACTGTGTAGCATATTCAGCTAATCTGCAAAGAAGGACCTAGCCTAGCAAGGAAAGAAAGAGCTACCTTTAAAAAAATAAAAGCCCAGTTGTTTTAATGACATATAGCTTTTTAATGCAAGTTAAACTTAAGTCATTAAATAATGTAAAAATGTTATGGAATGTGTTGATATATTTAAGAAATAAACACTTTTCTTTAGCAGTCACAGAAGACAGACACTAAAGTTTCCTGTCTTCAAAACTACATTTGGACGCTGGTCCCTTGATTTAGGGGGAAGAAAAAAATTGAGGAAACTGGAGAGGATTCAACAGAGGGCTAGCAGCATGGCTAGGAGACTAGAATATATGGATCATTAAGATTGTGAGAGCTGAATTTGGTTTAGTTTGGCAAAAAGGAGACTTATGCATTAATTTAATAGTGGTCTCGAGCTATTGAGGCGACATTGCAAAGACAGAGACATCCTTCTTCATAGTGGCAGATTGTAAACCAAGAGGCAGTCACCACAAGTTGAGGCTTAAGGGGTTCAAATTGGGCATTAGGAAAAAGTACATTGATAGTACGGTAGCAGAGAGGCCACCAGAGGGGTATGCAGTCTTCATTTTCCTGAAACTCTTGAAACTTGGTTAGACAAAGCCCGAGTTTGCCTGGTGTAACGTTGGCAATAGTGCTGCTGCAACCGATAAGTGTGAGTGTATGACCTCTAGCCACCTTCCAACTTTGTTTTTTTTTTGATTGTGTAATTATGTGGTGAAAGCCAGGCTGGTTAAATGTAGCCTTTTATGCAGGACTGAGCATGTATGTGCTGACTTTTTTATGGCACAAATGCAGATTTTTGTGTACTTGGATGAAATAGTAATATTAGAAGGATATCCTTGCTTCTTATGTTAAGTGGAAGCAGATGAATGAGTATTTATGCCAAGGCTTAATTAGCTAAGTTAAATAGATGTATCAGTAGACTGTAAATGGGATATAATTAAGTGGAAATGTTTGTGTAACCCAGTTGAATGTTTTCTGGAACTTACTGTGACAGTAACCTGTAGAAGCAGACAGGTAGCACCCAGCGGAAGATGATACTTCCTAGGTTATGTTCTCATGTCCATTACTGTCCTGCATTATTCTTCTGTCTTTTCACAAATTAATGCCAGCATCTCAGCATTTAATTTTGTATTGTAATTTAAAGTTTTGCTTAAATGCACAAGGTTTATGTTTGCCCTAGGTCTAAAGATAGTATGTACCATGCCCTTGGATACAGCACTATTTTAGTTATGCAAGCTGCCATGACCTTTGAGCAGCAGGATATACAAATGGGAATTTCTACAATGAAAGAAGCTTTGCAAACCTGCCAAAGGTAAGCCCAAGCAGTGTACGTTTATGAGGTACTAAATCAAATAAGAGTTATTTGTAAGCTATCCCAGCTGTCAATATGCTTTCAAAGCAGGCTATCGTCAATGTGATAGTGGTCTGAATTTGGAAAGGTGTTGAGTAGATCTCACTGTCCAGTTGTTATTGATAAGGGTATGTTTCCTAGTATTGTAGAAACAGCAGATTTGTTGGATCTGGGAATGTATAGCCTCTAAAGTTAGTTAAATGGTTGGTTGGCTGTGTAGACCTGCACGTAAGCTGACACTATGTGGTTGAACTGCCTGAGCTATTTCAACCAATGACTTTTTGTTTTCCGTGGGGATCAACAATTTCGAAGCTCCATATTTTGAACTTTCACTTTCATCATGAAAATATATTTTTTTTTGAAAGCTGTTTTCAAAGGTGGACACAATAGTCTAGTAGGATTAAACTTGCACTGAGGTTTCTTCTAAAACCAAAGCAATTTTTAAGTCGTTGTTACAAATGTAAGTGTTCAGCTTACCGTAAAATTAAAGGGCTGTTATGTCTATCAAGAATGATCTGAACATTTGCTTCTGGTCTTGCTAGGAACAATGATGAATTAGAGTAGAAAACAGCAGTTATTAGTGACCTTTATTTTTTTCATTAAAAAAACTTAGAAAATGGGTTGTCAAAGCTTAAAGTGCTTAACATAAACAGTTAACATATCAAGTGCTCTGACATAAACAGAAATGAGTGGGGAAAAAACCCAAATAGAAATGATGAAGAACTGTAATGGTTCTTCATCACATTGATAAGACCATAATTTATCATGAAGGGTCTCCAAAGAAATTATCACCAGATATTGTTCGTTTAGACATTTAACATCACCTCCTCAGCAATGACAAAGAAAAGGAAACAGGACAAAATGATCAGATACTACTTGGAGAAAGTAAAGGGTTAGCACTTTCTGCCTCTTTCAGGTGTGCTATCATTCACAGTTTCATCTAAACTGTGTTATTATGTCTGAAAATTAGGTGCCTCTTTGGACTTCACATAGTTTTAATAAAGGCCTCCATCTGTGCAGGATACAAACTTTTATGCAGAAGTGCTCTGGTCTGTTCTGTCACAAAAATGCAACACAAAGGCAATCAAACACTCAAAGGTGAAGAATTGCCAGGACTACATGTTCCTTAGTTGACCATTATTTTTGATTGCATTGTATTAAAATTTGTATGCATTATGTAGGGTCATGATCTTGTCAGGATCCTGTGCTTTTCGGTGTGCGAGAATAGTGTAAAAAAAAAACCGATAAGGTCATGCTCAGTATTTATAATTCATTACTTTCCTGGGTTACAAAATACATTCCTTTTCTGAAGGTAGAATTATTTCTTTAGCTTCTTCATAAAGCTCAGTGATTTGTAAATAGTAACAAATTAATTTTTAGAGTGCCATAGTAAAATAAACTAGCAATTTATAGTATCAACAGTTGACATCTGTTGAAAGTAAAATATGTGGCTGCTTTGGCATCATATCTGGCATAAAACACTGTAAAATACTGAAGTATTTATGTTGAAAACAGAGCGGCTTTTGATTTTTTCATTCTAATTCTGAATGCAAGTTTAAGAAATGGAAAAGAGTAATTCATAAAACTTCTAAGTCCGGTTCAATTGGCTTAACTGGAATCAGAGAGACCTCTGCAGCCAGTGGGTAAAAGTGGGGTGGAAGCTATTGTACACTGAAAGTAAATTAAACACGTGCTTGGAACATCAGTTAAGGTTGGATAGGCTTCTGAGCCTAGATGCATACTGATGGCCATGACTAGACTACTCAAAGACTTGGAACTATTGGCACATCATCACTGTGCTAAGAATAAGAATGTCTATAAACTGTGGATGGAAATGGTTAAGAACTATAAATAATTAAGTTCAAGTTTGTGTGGAAATGTTGCTCATGCGGTGTGGGTTTCTTTTCTTCCATGTACAACTGATTTAGATTCAGAAAAAGAAGCACAGTGGTGGAATCCTTGTCCAATCTAGTTTCTAAACAGTCAGTGGATCAGTTGAGCGAAGGTAAGTGGTTTATAATACAATTAAAATAATAAAGTGAAAAAAGCTCAAAAACACTCTACCAATGTGTATAAATATGCTTAACTCTTTAACTTGATTAGTATCTTACAGTAAAAACCGAACAAACCACCTGTATGGTGGGTTTTTTTTTTTTAATTTGAATGCGAAGTTTCTCAAAATGGGGGATTTAGACTGATTTTTTTTTTTTTGGCTCTGAGCGTGCATGAATTAAAAGGAATGCCTTTCATAACACATTATGGGACTGAAGAGAAATTTCCATATTTTTTTAAAATATTTTTTTAAATATAAGACGGCTCCCAAAAGTTTAAGTATCAGTGATGCTGTGGAATACGTCCTTATCATTAGTTGCCTTGGAATCTGAATATATTAACAAGTTTTGTGCTTGTCTGTTTTGCCTTAAGGTGTTATGGGAAACGGTGTCAGTACGTTGTTCATGGCTCTGAAAATGCTGATGTCCTATTTCTGATTCGGGCAGAATCAAGTATGCATTTTTTTTCTAACCTGGCACAGAAGAATCCTCTTTAATACTGGGCACATCAAACTCACCATGTGTGCACTGTACATTCAGCAGCCTTGTGCATGTGGCTGATCTTGCAGCGTGGATGCAGAGTAGTTTATGTCGCTCATGTGTTAAGTCAAATGTACTTTAGTGCTGCATGAGGACAGAAAGTCTGCCCGGGGCTTTTGGTTTCTTGAGCATGACTTCATGAAAACCTCTTTATAATGTCTTACTGGACGTAGGAAAAACCTGTGCCACAGTGAGTGTTACCGTTCACCTGTAAAAGTTTTTTCTAAGATGTGGAAGGAGGGTTGGAAGACATAGTTGCTCTAGGCTGATACTTAAGCTTACGATCAATGGGAAGTATAGGAGATGATCCACCAGAATGACAAGTAGCTTTTGCCCTAGGCTGAGGTCAGCTCTGGTAAGATCAAAGTTTTTGTCTGAGGAGAAGTGAAACAGAAGAACTCCGTTGGCATTTGTGTGATAAAGGTGTTATTCAGCAGTTGGCAAAGCAGTGACAGCAGAATCTTGCTTTTTTTACTTTTCTTGGCAGCATTTTATTTGATCCATTGACCCCAAGAAGAGAATCTTGAAAATAACTTTGACAGTAAATGACTTTTCTTTCTTATACAGAGGAGATGCATGCTGAAATCTGCTATGCTGAATGCTTACTACAGAAAGCAGCTCTCACCTTTGTACAGGTAAAGTCAATTGATTATTTTGTATCTCTGTGTAGCAGTTTAATAGAAAGTTGTAAAACATCGTCCCCACAGTAGATACGATATTTAAAACTCAAACTTTTTCCTAGTGAATGAATGTTATTTCATGGCAGTGATTGAAAAATACGGTAAATGCTGTGCTGAGCAAAATCCTCGCTTTGTTTATATGAATAACCAAAGATGTTATTGATACCCAGGAACCAAAAACCTAAAGTATATTGCAGTCTTATACAGATGTTATGTTTAAATGACTTTCATCACATCTGACAGTGTCCAGCACTTGCTTAAAAAGATGTTCAAGTATGAGGAAATGTCTCATTTGAAAGCGCAAGTCTCTTTTTTCACGAAAAAGTTGCCCGAGTAACAAAACTTCAACTGGTTCCCACTTGTCTCCAATTCAGAATCGCTCTCCATGCGCTTTGGACATGATGTCTGGAATAACATAGTAATGAATTATTGTAAAATGAGCATATCTTAGCGTTGCTGAGGTAGTAATTCAGTTCACAGGAAGATCTGGTGTTTTAATACTGTCTTGTAAGCTTCTTGTTTAGCTTGTGGTACTGGGACTTTGTGCTACAATGTTTTCAAATTCAATTTGAAATTTGACTCCTGAAAACAAGAAATGTTAGTCATACCTTTTTTACATATGTGGCTGTTTTACAAATGTTTAATGAATGTATTTTAGATAATCTCTTCAGATATAAATTATGAGGAAGGAGAGAGGCACAAAGATACTAACATCAGACGGACCTAAAAAAATTAATTTGGCAAAGCTTTATAAACCACTTAGTACAGTACTTTGGCCAGAAGTATCAGGCAATATTATTAATGGAATGCCAGTCTTTCTTATAACTGACTTTCTTCTTTACTAACCAAATGAAAGCAACCCTCTTTTTTATGGGTGTGTGGGGTTAAGCATGTGGAGAATTTTTAACGAGTTGTTGTTGGAGGTGAGTTTAGGACTGTATAAAATGAAGAAAAACCTTAGGGGTGTACTTTCTCTAAAGCAGCACCTCGCTATCCCTATCAGAGATCCATTGCTGTTGACTGTAATACCCTGCTCTGCTGATTGCTGTCATGCTCCGTATTTTTAGTCCTTAACTGAGCTTAATTCGTATGAGGATGATGATGCTAATGAAAATGTTATCATTCAGAAAGAGGTAGCAAGAATGCTTGTACTGAAATACTTGTGTTTGGGTGTTCAGTCTGGCAGACTAAATGGTGGAGGTCTTCTGAAATGGTGACACTTTTATGGAAGCCAGAATTTCCTTTGGTTGATAGTTCTGAGGCTTTTTTGGTGCTTTTTCATTTTCCACATCATATATGCTTTTCTCGAGTACTTAAATGTGCATTTCTGAAATGCCTGCACATGTTCCCATTCTGTGTGAATTCTAAGAGCAAAAAATTCTGTCCTGTTAAACTGTTAACCATCTCGCTTTTCAGGAATTTGTTTTTGATGGCTAGTACATTGTGGCTTTACTTTTATTTTTCTAGAGGTTAATAAGAACATATGTTGGGTAGCACATGTGGTTATGGTTGATCAACGATGGAAATTCATCTCTTCAGGGTAATTCATCTGTTCAGGGTTTTCTTTGGTTTGTCTTCTGCCACGTTGTGGCCTGGCTTGTGTGTGTCAGAATCGGTATTTCAAAACTTTCCAAAATGTTCCTACAGCACCATCTGCTGGAGAGCTTTCTTGTTTCATTTATATGCATAGTAAGTTCTGTTAAAGTAACTATTTTTTCACCCCCTCTTAAATTTTAGAATTTGTAACATGCACCAGAAAACGTTTCTCAGGCAACTTGAAGTGTTCAGCCTTAGAGACTAGTCAAATAACTGAAAAGCATTTTTAATATTTCCAATGAAAGTATTTAAATATATCTGGAAGATTTTTATGTGTTTTCTGTAATAGCTGAAAGCACATTTTTGTACAATTACATTTTTTTTCTTCCAGGATGAAAATATGATCAACTTTATCAAAGGTGGCCTTAAAATTAGGACGAGTTACCAAATATACAAGTAAGCCATTAGAAAACACTTAGATTCAATGTTGGTATAAACAGGTGCAGTTGCATTAATGCCTCCAAAATAAAAAGAAATATTTTTATAGCAATCATAATGATTATACTTCGTATGATTCCTAAATCATATTTCCCCTTCCCTCCTTTTTTTTTCCTGCATCAAAAGAGAGTGTCATCAGGTGCTACAGATGACTCAGGGGAACAAAAGCAAAATTGAAACTTATTACCAGTTTGAAGGAGGAGTAAAACTTGGAATTGGAGCATTCAACTTGGTATGACTTTTCAGACTACAGAAGGGCCATCGCGATAATTGTGTAGGATTCTTCCTTTGCAAATATAGTACTGTGATCCTGTTTTAAAAATTACACATTTGTAGAATGAAGATACAGACTTGGAAGGTTTTATGCAATATGAAAACACTGGTGGCTTTTTTGCTGCATGCCTTCTAGGATCTTTCTACAATTTATTCTGAATTGTGTTTAATTCTCTTGGCCTAATTTATGTGTGTATTTCTTAAGAGGAAAAGCAGCTACATCTGCCTGTACTAGGTAGATGTAGGAATTTATAAAGTGCTTACGCTGTTGGTTACAGAATACTTGGAGTGACTGCTTTTATTCTAACACCTCCATGTATATATCATTCTTTTGCTTCAGTGGCATACTGTAGACTGGCATAGATAATGACAAATTCAGAATAATGAGCGGTAGTTTACTGAGTCTGTGCAAAAGAAAGCCAAGTACATCCAATAGCTTTTTTCTTTACAATTTACTACGCTTGCCTTTTCACATCTGTCGTGGCAATGATGAGAGCTGATTTCTGCTGGTATGTTAATTTCTGTATCGTTCCAGACTGGAGTTGGCCAGTTCTGAGTATAGTCATAAGAACTCAGGTCTGTCTGCACCTGTCAGTCTTTAAAACCCAAGCAACTGGTAGATGTCTGTGTTTATAAATGCTCTGAGCTTTCCCATTCTTCATGAAGTCTCTTCAGTAGGAAGCTTAACAGAAAAAGTCTCTGCTGGGCAGAATGTATTAGGGTGAATGGAGCTTTCAAAAACTGACCTTCAAATAGACCTTCTTGTAATGCTCATTGAAAAGGTGGTTGTGATCTTTTAAATTTTATGTGGAGAATGCATTTACAAGGGGAAAAAAAAGTGCATGGAAATAGAGGGCTAAAGGGTGATTACAATGGCTAGTATTTCTAAAACAAATATGCTTACTGGTCTGCTAATTCAGTGCTCCCACAGTAGGAACAAGTAGAACTGATACTATTGTGTCATTTGATTGGGAGTAAAGGAAGATGACAACGGTAGATTCTAATACTGTTGTTCCAAATGGCACACAATTTTCAAACAATTCTAATCAGCTGAAGACAGAAAAATCTGTCATTATCTGAAGAAGCACAGCTGGACTCTGTCTTGCTGTTTCTATGCTGGATGATTGTCAAAAGTCATGCGTTTCTCTGAGGCTGCAGACTGATTGTATATTGTTGATCATGCACGCCTATTTTTGAGTTCTTTTGTGTTTTACTTTTTAATTAATGTGTAATGGCATTTAATATAGTAGCTGGCATTGTTTTGCTCAAGTTTATAGTGGCTTTACTTGTACAAATTTTTTTTAAAGGTTTTTATTTATCTTACTTTTGTTTTAAATGTATTTCAGATGCTGTCACTTTTACCAGGAAGGATCCTCCGACTTTTAGAATTTATTGGATTTTCTGGCAATAGGGTATTGGGTCTGATACTTGTTTCTTCAAATTAGTCTTTTCTCAGATTCGTGATGTTAAATCCATCCAGTGTTTGTTTCTCAGTAGAAGTGTAATGATCTATATTGTTTATCAGTATTTTAGTGTTGTTAAAAAGATGAGAAGTGGGCTAGTTAATGCAGGCATAAAAGCACATATGGTGATATTCTGATCTTGAGCAACCATGGGAAATGACCAGTCTGCTTCAGAGGGGGTTTTCAAATTGCAATTTCCTTTCCTTTTGCTGATCCTCAAGGACAGGATATCAGCTTTCTTTTCTAGCATATATAGTCAAAAATTAATGTTCCTCATACCAGTAACTAAGAGGAGAGTCACAGTTCTACATTTTTCCACCCACAATCCCAACTTGTTTCTTTGGGAGAAGGAATTTCTGAATATCACGTGTCACTGTGGAATCTCAGATATCTTTTTCTCATAGATGAGGAAAGTATTTGCAATCATAGCCTTGATTTGTAAAACTAGCCTTGTTTTGTAAGTATCTTGCAGCCCTTTAAAACTCTTTTTGGCACCCATAAGAAATAAAACGAACAAAACAGACGACAAACAAAGCAACCCACAGAACTATACCTAACTAAACTAATTTCAATAGATTAATGAGACAGAGTCACCATATGGTCTTGTCGCTGTTAGTTGTCCACAAATATGGTTCTGCTTATGTAAAATTAGACTTCAGTAGAGACCTGTTCATTCTGTTTCTTCCTGTGAGTGACCTGGTTCATGCTGAATCTCTTCCAAAGTACGCATTTTTGCCCTGACTGAAAAGGCAATACAAGCAGAAAAGAAAAGAAAAATTTTGAAATATCACCACATATTTTTGTATGGTGCTTGAATTCTTCTATAACTCAACAAGTTGCTGTGCAATAAAATTCCTGTTAAGTTAGTATTTGTTTCAAGGCGAAACTTCTAAAATGCGATATCCACCTCCTAGCAGGTTGAGGGAGGTGATTCTGTCCCTCTGCTCTGGTAAGACCCCACCTGCAGTACTGCATCCAGCTCTGGGGCCTCCAGCACAAGGCAGACACGGACCTGCTCAAGTGGGTCCAGAGGAGGGCCACAAAGATGATCACAGGTCTGGAGCACCTCCCCTATGAGGACAGGCTGGGAGAGTTGGTCATGTTCAGCCTGCAAAAGAGAAGACTCTGGGGAGACCTTCCAGCAGCCTTCCAGTACTTAAAGGGAGCCTACAAGAAAGTGAGGAGGGACTCTTGATCAGGGAGTGTAGTGATAGGACAAAGGGTAATGGTTTCAAAGTGAACGAGGGTAGATGTAGGTTAGATATTAGGAAGAAATTCTTTCCTGCAAGAGTGGTGAGACACTGGAAGAGGTTTCCCAGAGAAGCTGTGGCTGCTGCCTCCCTGGCAGTGTCCAAGGCCAGGTTGGATGGGGCTTTGAGCAACTTGGTCTGGTGGAAGGTGTCCCTGCCCATGGCAGGGGGGGTTGGAACTAGATGATGTTTAAGGTCCCTTCCAACCCAACCCATTCTGTGGTTGTATGATATGTTTCTGAAGAGCTACTGCTCTTGAGCAGGGAAGCTCTAAGCTCATGTCAGCAATCTCCCAAGCAGTCAAGCTGTCATGTAATGGGAAAGGATAGGAAGAAGTTTCATGGGTTAAGAGCTGAGTAAGTCTCCATGAATCTGGATTGCTTTCCTTAGTGCACACAAATTCTGTTGTAGCTTCTGGACATGGTATCTAGAAGTTGGTCTGTCAGCACAGCTAGTATTTTGATCAGAACCTTAAAATAATGACTGACTTGATGGAAGGGAATTCAAGACAGCCAGGGATTTCTGTGTAGGAAGATTCTTGCTGACAGGTAGCAGTGGAACAGCTGAGAGAGATTCTCACCAAACATATGTTTAAAGATACTATTCTGAAAGGCTTATAGCCAGAAAATAGGTGGAAGGGATGCAGAACTATGTGTCTTCATGGTCTGTGTAGTGTTCCCATTTCACCAAAGTACTGAAATGCCTGGGTAGTTTTGTTGAGCATTAGCTTAATCTTCCCATTGCTGAGTGCTATCAGCTGTGGCCAAGCTGTTTTGGTAGAAGACTGTGGATCTGAGATAACAAAGTGCTGAATTGTGAAATTTTGAAAGGAAAGCTGGATTTGGGGGAGCCATAAACTAGTAATAGTAACTCAGTATGCTGATAGTTAATTCTGCATGTGTTTGTGATGTTTCTTAGGATTTGGGCCTCTGTCAACTACGGGAAGGCGCATCTGGCAGCAGTTTGAGGGCCATTCTGTGTACTTTCACCCTGTTGGTTTATCATACTTACGTCTCCTTAATCCTTGGTGAGACTCACTGTGTAGCTGTTCAGTCATGATACACATTATGATAGATACTGTGATTTTTTTTTTGAACTGAATTTTGAGACTGGCCAGTTAGCTTTATACGATGAGATTGCTAGATACTTCATTATGATCTGAAATGAATTATCTCTGACTGAAAAAGCTGTGTCTGCAGAAACAGTGAGGATAGATACCATTATACCAACATCTTACTTCATTTGCAGGGCTGTCTCAACATGCAACAGCAAAATATCACAGAACACTTCATTGCAGACAAGTCCTTATCCCTAAATTAACATCACACATTGTGAAAACTACCTCCAGAAAGAAGTCTGTACTCGCAAACAACTTGAAAGTTTGAACATGTAGAGAAGTAATTGCTTTTGTCCCGTGGGGCTAGAAGTCATGATTTATTATGTATCCATCTTTGACATATAGTTTCACATTCTTTACTGTGGAAGTATTTTAGTCCTTGTCCCTCAGGCTCATCAGCAAGTTAAGGAGAACTTAATTTCTTTCAGTATCACTTGTATTACTGAGCTCAAAATTAGGAAAGGAGGCAGCTGAGGGATGTTTTCCTAGTTGCTAAAGCAATTAAAGGGATTTAAAAATATACCTAGGATTTGTAATGGAACAGTTTACAGAATATTAATGTATTCTGTTCTGTTTCTACTTAGACATTTACTGTCTTAAAAGCACTTCGTACATTCAGGACGAGAATTCATTTTTGTGGAAATACAATATGATGAAATAATTCTGCTTTTGCATAAAAGCAATCATTAATTTATTCAAGCCATAATATGATTTGGAAACCAAAGTCTTAATCTATGAAACTTTTTTTTTTAAGTACATTGAGGTTAATTTGTTATGTTTTCTAGGTACAGGGGAAGCCAACCTTCAGGAAGCAGATAGTCTCCTTGAACCCTACCTCCAGAAATTTCCAAATGTGTGTATTCTCAATAAATTTTCTAATAGCAATGTACTACCCTAAGCTTAAAATAGTAACTGAGCATTTTTCTCATCTCCTTTCAAGGGTTCCATTATTCTATTTTATGCTGCCAGAATAGATATACTGAAAGGAAATTTTGAAAAGGTAAATAATTTTTTTTTGTAAGATTTTTGTTTGTTCAGTGTTCAACTTGGAGAAAAATATCCAATTCATCTCAGTAACTTACTTAGTTGGACTGAGAATTATGCTGTTCATGCTCAGTCTTAATATTGATGCCAGCTCCCTCTCTGTAAGTGAGACTGAAAGGAAAGTTTATTTCATTTTACTAGTCAGGTGTTCTCCATCTGGGTACTAGGAAAGAAGTTGCTCTGTAATTAGCCGTGGCTCTCATGTGGAGCTGTAATTAAGCCAATTTTCATCATTCTTACTTAACTACATCGTAGGCGCAGTTGAGGTTCCAAGAATGCATAGCAGCCCAGCAAGAGTGGAAACAGATTCATCATCTCTGTTACTGGGAACTGATGTGGTGCTACACCTTCCAGCAGAACTGGCTTCAAGCATATCGGTATGCAGACCTGCTCAGCAAAGAGAGCAGGTGGTCTAAGGTAAATGGGCAGGTGGACGTTGTTATGATATACCAGTAGCCTTTCCACAGCTAAATTTGCATTTCCATTCACATAATAAGCGTAATGTTTGCTTTCATCTGAAACCCATAAGCAAAGGCACAGTGGCACCAAAATGGTAGGTTTAATTGCGTGGTTAAGGAGGAATTTTTATTTCACATTCTGAAGCATCAGAGCCATAACAACGCTTCAGCCCCTCTGAAAACAGAGGTGTGTACCAGAGTTGTGAGAAGGAAGAGGGAGAAGAAAGCTGTTAACTTGCATCTCAAGTCGAGTTCTAACACTCACTCATAAAACTTGGCTGAGGAAATTGTGTGTGTTAGTTAGTTATAAACAGATGAGAGCACACCTGCTCAGCAGATGCTTTGCAACATGAAATGAGAAAGCTGCTAGAGACAGGATCTCACAAAGTTGGGGTATCTACCTTTTCCTTGTAAAAATGTTTATCAAAGAATGAACCAGACACAATGTGCAAATAATTTCTGATATATAATTTTTGTCAGTTCCTTTCTAGATCACTGTTTTATAATGCATAATGGAAAAGGGGATACATCCAATTCTTGACAAAAGAGGAAGAGAATAGTATATTCAAAGTGAAGTGCAAACGTCTTAAATAGAATTACAGATGTTTATTTTTAATCTGCAAAGTCCAGTCATTGAACTTTCCTTGAATCAGCACTCAGATGTTTTCTTCTCCTTACTCAGGCATGTCTCTACACGTAACAGATCATATAATAACAGTAATGGACATTAGAATAGTTATGTCATTTAACCTCATCCCTTTCAGTGATTCGCATAATAAATTTTCCTGTTCTTTGCAGGGGGCACCTTTAGCATTCTGACCAACTTATTCAGAATATTAATAAATATGTTGAAAGTAGAATTATAGCATTAATTATGTGACAGAGGAAATGATAAACTTGTTTAGTTCCACCTGCCTGAGAATTACTGGAAACAGTTCACTGTAGCAAGTGGGTTGAGAGGTTTGAGTCCTTAGTGTATTGACTGAAGACAGCAAATTAGATGTGGTAATATGTTGCTATTTCTTTTTTTAAATAGGCAATATATGTATTCCAGAAGGCAGCAATTCTATGTATGCTTTCAGAGGATGATTTGAAAAGGACTGGTGAGGATGTTGTGTCTTTATTCAGGTAAACAGTTATAAAGCAAATAGATATGCAGTCTTTTGCCCTCACATAGAAGTTTTCAGCTTAAGTATTTTTTTCTTGTGTGACTTACTTCCCGCTTACAAGCATCAACTTTTCAGTTTTTCTTGTTAACATCAGAATACTTAAAATGTTGCTTTTATCAGCAAACATGCATCCTACAATTGCGGTCTAAGTGGTGTGAAACAATTTTAAGATGTTTGTACTTCAGAGGTGAACAGCAAATCTTACTAAATGAAATAAGATTAAATAAAAATTATATAAAGCAACTTCTGTTTTCCATTTTCCCTCCTTGTAGACAAGTGGATGGTCTAAAACAGAGAATTGCAGGAAAATCTATCCCAACCGAGAAGTTTGCAGTAAGGAAAGCTCGACGCTATGCAAGTTCTCAACCAGTGAAGCTGATACTACCCGCCTTGGTATTTATGCTTGCTTTCTTTTTTTGTTTTTCAAATGGAAAATAAATAATTCATTATACAGGGGAAGAATAATGTTATCAGGTAGTATGCATCTGCATTTTTTGAAGAATTACTGTATTCATGTAATGGGATTTTTGTGAAATGTAGTAGTGGCTTGATCATGCTACCAATGACTAGCAGCCGAAAAATAGAACCAGGTTTTTCGTATGAAAATTAAGACATACAGAGAATGATTGCTGTTGCCATATGAGGCTGAAAGTCACCTTTCAGCTGGAAACCTGCATGGGTTTCTAGTATATGTGTTTAGGTTCTTTAGTTTGACAGGATTTCAGTCCTTGTCCTCCAGACTCATGAGGAAGTTAAGGAGTACTTCATCACTTTCTATTCTTCTGATGAAAATGAAGAGTGGTGGGGTTTGGTTGTGGGTTTGGTTGTGGTTTTTTTTTTTTTCTTATATTGAGTCTAAGTAAAATGTGCAGAAGTTAACGATACTTTACTAATGCTATTCTAATTTCCCATGCTTTTAACGTCAGAGGCATTAGTAGTACACAGTCTGTTCATGTGTGCATAGCAGTGATACTTTTGCATGTGTGTATGCTGAAATTTTTGTACATGGATAATTTAGCAACAACTGAAGATGAAAACCAGAATTTGACAAGGAATTTCTTTTGTTAACTTTTATTGATATAGAAAGAGAAGTCCAAAGAAAATTAATTTGTCAGGTTTAAAATTTGTTGTATACTCAATTATGTATAAAGACCCAAGTAATAAAGTTGTCTTGGGCTTGTACACCTTAGTGCTGTTCAGTTTTGAGTATATATCTTTGATATTGCTGTCAAATCCAGTATCTTTTAAGAATTTTTCCATCATCAGTTAAGGAAAAATAACCATACTGTATGGTGTTACTGCAGTAAGTGTAAATTAGACAGGACTACAGAATTGAAACGGATCTAACATAGTGTAGTTGATAGTGTCAATAACAACATTTCAGACTGTGATAGAACCATTTTTTTTGTCCCTTTGAAAACCCACATAGTTAGGAGTACAAAAACAAGTGGAAGTATTTAAACTATTTATTGTTATCAGCTGCAGAATGACATCAGGCTTCATATTTCAGAGGTGTAATTGCAATACAAATACAATAGAACAAATGATACTCCTATGTTTGTGATAATTGAGTAAAGATCTGGGTGAAGTTTTTTGTTGGTTAGCATTACATCTGTATGTGTATTCTCTCATTCTCTTTGTGTTACACTGTGATACTATTTAATGCATCGAAACAAGCGTATTTCTTAGTCCTGTACTGAAGCATCTGGGAAGTTTTGTGCTAGGATTTGCCTGGATTTTTTTAAGAAAATAAGATTTTGTAGGAATTATATTGCAAGCATGTGTTGGATGTGTATACTGGAACCACATTTTTATCCAGAAAGTTTAGCTGCTTCCAGTGTTGCTTTCCATATGGAAAGGAACAGCCCATAAATTATGGCATCTACATATAAACACACATATGAATGTGTGTTTGGGTATGTGTGTATATATGTATACTGTATATACATGCATACAGCCACACATACATGCACAAATTTTTCTGTGGTCCTGTAGAAATTAACTACTTTCAGCTGCTGCTTTAGTTCATATGGCAGAGGCCACAAGTTGAGCCTAAAATAGCCAGTTTTGCTGATGTGTTACGTGGTCAATGGTAAATTATCATGTGATAAAACCTGTTGAGTTTTGTTTTAAAGATCTATGAAAATACATAATAAAATCCCTTAAAAAGGTGTAAAAACATTAAAAACTTAGAAACTGAGGTTAGCTTTGCCCTCACGCATTCAATGTCATTTTGCCTCCCCTGTGCATAGGTACTCTTATGCAATTTTAAATGATTGTAAGGCAAATGCAGTTGTCTTTGTGAACTTGCATGTAACTGACACAATGTCCATACTTGCTGTGGGTGGTTATTTGAAGTCATACAGATGCTTCTATTCATGGGCTTCTCAACAGTGAGTGTTTTGGCTTTGAAACCTTTCATTTTGTTTAAACCAAGTTTTTATAGGCAGTATTTTTATGTAGTCAAAATGTTCCATAACAGCCTTCCAAGGGATACTCTTTGCTTAAATATTTATGCAATTCCATGAGTTTGTCATGCTTTTTTTTTTTTGTCAGGAAATGATGTATGTCTGGAATGGCTTTTCAATTGTGGGCAAAAGAGCAGACCTCACTGAAAACTTACTGGTAACAATTGAAAAAGAAGAAACTGCTCTGCAAAATGAAACTAGTAAGTGATCTGTTAAGGTGGAGTTAATAAACTGGTTTTAAGAAATGCTCATGTTTTTCTTTGCTTCTGTCTACTAATGTTCTGTGAGGTAAGTGTCAACTCAGACAATATGATATTAAATCTGAGTAAGGAAATTTTGGAGGCACATGAAAGTTAGCAGTGGTTCTTCAATATGTTCTTTATTCAGCTTCGTTGATGCTGCAGAAGAATAGAAAAAACTTGAGGATGTGAGGTTATTAGTTACATAACTTAACTGATTCTTACTAAGACATTCCAGTCTCTGAGAGCATTCTTGGAGCATAACCTGCTATTCTCTTAAATGTCTGAAAAATACTTTTTCTAAACCAATTTACACCACACTTTAACTGTATTACAAAGGGCACATACTGAGCAGAATATGGTTAAATATAAAGGAAATAATGAAGTACTATGCATGAGTCTGGTTTTTTACGTTCAGGCAAAATAAAACGTTTGCTAGTTGTAAAATAAAACACTTTTAACAAAAAAAACTTTTACTATGGTTTTAGATCTTGATGTATTTGAAGGATAGATGTTCAGGGTAAAGTTTACAGAATCAGGTCATAATTTACTCCTAAAGGAACTGAAGTTCCATTATTACAACAGGTTTACTGCAGAAGTGCCTGGCTTTATCAGGTTTTATCAGGTGGGTGCTGTCATCTGTCGTGTGAACTTATCAATAGACTTCTGAGTTCTTCTAGAATGAATAAATATATTTTTTTAATTCTATAATTTCTATTGAACCCACATTTTAATCACACTTGTCAACAATTTAACGAACATTAACATTGCCACACAATTAAAACATTGATCATGAAATGTAAAAGCACATCTGATTATGACTTACATATACACTGAGGTGATGCATCAGAAATTTTACAAGGACGTACAAGAAACACATAGTGGTAAAATCTGGTATAATAAACTAAATGAGAATAAATTGCAAGGGCAAAACTGAATTGGGTCCCTTAATATGTTTTTATGCTATTCTTCACATTTCTGCAGAATCTGTAGTGTGCCTTTTAAATTCTAAATGTTTTTGCTTTTTTTATTGTATTAAAACCAGAATGTAACAATATGCAAGACATCTGCAAATAAAGCAATGTTCCCATGAGTTCTGCTTGGAGGGTTCTGGCAGAAGCTGTTGGGAATCTGATGCTGTATCATGCAGAGGCTTGTACTATCAGTGCTAATTAGTTGTGACACTGATGTAAATTTCCTGTCAAATTCCTAAGCGGAGATGCAGAAGGTATCAAAATAAAAGGAACAGAAATAAAACCATTATGTTTTTCTTATGAAAATATGTGGTTTACAAATAGGATGTAATCCAGAAGCATATTTGGTTTTTATACTTTCTGTACCTTTTTTAGTAACAACTACAGGCAAATGTAGTTTTGTTCTGGACTTTCACATCTGTGAGCCTAATTGGCTTTTAAAGATAGGGACTCAGACAAGATAAAGACTGATTACCAGAATTGCTGCTGAATTGAGACCCGAAGAAAGTGATTAAGGCTATTAGCAGAGTGTGGCAAAGATACAATATTATTTTAAGAAACAGCTGTCAGTAAGAGAGAGCTTTAAAAGACTGCTAAGGTGCTGTTAAAAAGTATTAATTATACGTAAAGGTCACTTAGGGATTGAGACTTCTTAGAGCTGTTGATACTTCCTTCACTTCAAGTGAAGAGGCGCAGCAAGGAATCTGTCAAGGACTGAAAGTGGTTTTATGTTGTATAGAGCTGCAAGTAGAGATGGTAAAAGGAACAGACGAAAGACATAAAAAATTGTATTTTTTTTTTCTCAGGATTTCTGGAAATCTTAGTTTTCCACAGTTGTTTCATCTCCAAGATATAAACAAATAATTTGTAACTTCGAGAAAAATTAATTTCTTGTGTGTTTTATAATCCTGATAATGATATTTCCTCTGGTATAGAGGACTGGAGGCAGCTGATTCTCCCACATTTTTTTGCAAGGTTGTGTCTATTAAATTGGCCTGTGCGTTTACCATCATTTACTATCAGTGTTTCAGTGTAATAGCTCTTCTATCTGTGGGAATTACCAGGGAGATACCAGCTGAAGTTGTTAAAGACTGGCAAGATTTTACTGACATGGGTGCTTTCCCCCAGTAATTTCAGTGAATGAGTCCTTTAGGAGACAGTCATATGAATCCAATAACTTGGCCTAGCAAAACAGGCTAGGGGGAATGCAAAAAACTCACCCACTACCTGTCACTAAAAGCACAGTCTGTCAATTATTATCTGTCGAGACTTTCTGGGTATAAATAAGCAGACAGAAATAAGCCTGAATGTAGGGGCAAATCACTTTGCTGAATCCGAAGATGCTTTGGTCTTGCATGTTTCAGAACTGTTTACGTAGGATTTTTTTGGCAGACTATTAAGAAAAAAGGTAATGTGACCTTAGAGAGCTGGTAATTACTTGTAAACAACATGATCTGAAGGGAGAGTGTTTTGCTTCCTGAGTTGTTAATGTATGTGCTGCCATCTGTCTATCCATATGTGTTTTCTTTCCTTTCTTGCACCCAGAAAATGCTATAAACCAAGGCAACAAAAAAGGACCACAATTGTTAAGTTTATATTTCTGAATCCCTTCACAAAAGCACTTTCACCTGATGTTTTTAGTCCTATTGAACATAAAACTTGCTTGAATTTTCTAAATGTCATACACTACTAGTGAAGCTTCTTAGTTGTTAGAGATGGTGGGAATACTAATAAACATGGTTTCTTGAATTTGTACTTCCAAATAATGCTCCTGAAAAGTTTTTCAGGACAGAGTCCTAGTGTGTTCTTGTGCTTTTCATGTTACTGGTGCTACTGGAGGTCTGCCAGTGCCCTGCAATGGGGAAAGCTATTAAGATAATGTAGTGCGATGGAGCTTCCAGTCTCTACGCTGTGGGGTTTGCTTCCTGTTTTGGATGTTACAAGTACAGAAATCTTTAACTGATGCCAGTGTGTACCTGCTTTCTACTGACTTCCAGATACAGAAGACGAGGGAATATCTGGATGTTTCAATTTCTTCATATTTCTCTTAGCCTTTATCTTTAAAGAGAAAGATACTGGTGTTATGCACACATGTTCTTTAGCAGACAGTATTTAAAATTGTACCTGAAAGTTATGTACGTTTTGAGGTGTAAAATCTGAGAAGCAAGGTCCTGAGTCTAAATACATATTCCCTACTGAAAAATTGAATTTTCCTTTTCATGGTGTCTTCAACTTGGTTGATGTATCCTGGTTTTGCTTTTAGATCATAGTGAATACTATATGGATGATGTGTGCATGCTGCAGTTACTGAAGGGCCTCTGCCTGAAACACTTGGGAAGACTCATGCAGGCTGAACTGTGTTTCAGTAAAGTAGTTCAAAGGTAAAAATAACATAAACAGACTTTTAACTTTTATATTTTGTAGCTTTGGGTGAAATTTCTGGTACTCCTGTAGGAGCAGTCGTGTTAGAATTTTTAATAATTAAACTTGGACATCATGTTAAGGAGCTGGAATTAAAATACCTCTGAAAGTAGTTGGGTAACAACAAAACTTTGCTAGTATTTTTCTATTGCAATTTAACATTATATAGCTCTATATAATGTGATGTATTAGACCAAATAAATCATACTGAGTAATGCATTTATCTGAATACATTTGGCATTAGTATTTTTGTATTTGCAGAACTATTAATATAAGTAAAGATGATTCACATGGATTTCCTGGGGTTTTTTTCAGGAGTTAGTACTTCAGTAGCTAATGCTTCTCTATGTAGATGAGGAATTGTTGTTGCTACTTGTTTCAGTTGAAAACTTGAGTTTCCTCGATTATGGAGTTGAGTTATGGATTTGTCAAATACTTTGTTTCAGATCCATATCTATTGTAATAACTTTTCTTTATATCACGTTGAGTCATTTACTGATTGTAGTTGTAAACTTTTTAGAATTCTTAATTAGTCTGAAAAAGCAGTTTTTACACAAGTGATTTTTGCAATAAATAATTCAGAAAAATGAATGTTTAAGGAGAATTTATTACATATATTTCTATTGCTTGTTTTATCATCTTCTTGCCACCTTGCCTTCTCTTGGTCTTTCTAAGGTCCCAAGTGACTTTAGTCAAGCACGATGCAAGTTGCAGGGCAGTGGGTTTTGACTGGTTAGACATTAAAGGAAGGACGTTTCTGAAAATCTTGCTCCAAAAGTGGTTGACACAGTGGAGGCTTTTAGAGCTGAGACAACTCAAAATTCTTCAGACAACACTTCTTCATAAAGCAGATGTTGTGCATGGGTAGGAGAATTTTTTTGGAAATTAAATATCTACATTCTGGTCAGCTTTACTCTCTACATTTCTTGGGCTGCTACAGTACATTAAGACTATTTATCATGCAAGCAGTCTCCCTGCTTTAAGACACACTTCATGTGCATCAAGGCTTGTCTTGGTGGATGAGGTGCCTCTTTAGAAGTGTTGCTCTCAAAATGTTGAGACCTTTTCCAGTGCTTGTTGCAAACTTTTTCCTTCTGCAGTATTGGTTGATGTTATTTTATCCAGATATGAATCAAAGAGCTGATTGAAAAAGACAGAGGAAAGGCCAAGATATGCAGTGCCTTCTTTACCTCGTTCTGTAGTGGCAAGATCAGCTTTCAGGAGTTCCAGATTCGTGAAACCTGTGGGGGAGTCTGGAAGAAGCAAGAATTACCCTTGATGGAGGAGGGTCAGATTAGGAGAAGTGTGAACAGACTAGACATATATATATGTCCATGGCAATTGGACATACCTATGTCCATAGCACATTCGCATATAACACAAGTGCTGAGGGAGCTGGCCTATGTCATTGTGGCGCTCCGTTATGTTTGAAAGGTCATGGCAATTAGGGGAAGTTCCTGAGGACCAGGAGAAAGCAAATGTCACCCCTATCTTCAAGAAGGGCAAGAGGAGCATCTGGGAGACTGCAGGCCAGTCAGCTTCTTACCAGTCCCTGGGAACGTGGAGTAAATAATTCTGAAAACCATTTCCAAAAGCATGAAGGTGATCAGGAATAGTCAGCATGGATTTATGAAGAGGAAACAGTGTTTAACGATCCTTGTAGTCTTCTACAATAAGATGACTGGCTTGGTAGATGAGGGGACAGCAGTGGATGTTCTTGAGTTTAGAAAGGTTTTCGACACTGTCTACCACAATATCATTACGGACAAACTGGTGTTTATCAGGTCTCAACTAGATAAGTTGTTTGTGAGGTGGATTGAAAACTGGCTGAACTGCTAGGTTCAGAAGGCTGTGATCTGCAGCATGAAGTCAGCTGGAGGCCAGTCACCAGTAGAATAATGGAGAGTTTGATGCTGAGTCCATGAGATTTTAACATCTTCATTAAGGACCTGGATGATGGGATAGGATGCAACCTTAGCAAATGTGCAGATGATACAGAGTGGGAGGAGTGGTTGATAAGCCAGATGGGTGTGCTGCAATTCAGAGCAACCTGGACAGGCTGGAGAAATGGGCTGACAGAATTTCGTGAAGTTCAATGAAGATAAGTGCCAATCCCTACATCTGGGGAGGAATAACTCCCTGTGGAGTCTCCTTCTCAGGAGACATTCAAAACCCACCTGGATGTGTTCTTGTGTGACCTACTCTAAGTGGTTCTGCTCTGGTGGCGGGGCTGGACTAGATGATCTTTTGAGATCCCTTCCAACCCCTAACATTCTGTGATTCTGTGATCAGCACAGGCTGGGGGCTGACTGGCTGAAGGTCAGCTTCTCATAAAGGGCCCTGGGGATCCTAGGCATCACAGTCAACCCCATGTTGACCATGAGCCAGCAATGCACCTTTGCAACAAAGGTGGCCAGCAGTGTCCTGAGTTGCGTTAGGAAGAGTATCATCAGCAAGTCAAGCGTGGTAATCCTTCCTGCCCTCTCAGCACTAGTGAGGCCACATCCGGAGTACTGTGTCTAGTCTTTGGACTCATTGGTGTAAGAGAGACATGGACGTACTGGACCAAGTCTAACAAAGGGCCACAAAGGATTGAAACATCTGTTGTATAAGAAGGAAGCAGAGAGAGTGGGGAGTGTTCAGCCTGGAGAAGAGAAGACCTGAAGGAGTTACCTGAAGAGAGTGTGTTGTTTTTTTTACAAAAAAGGGGGGGGGGAGAGAGAGAGAGTCAATGGGGCCCAGTGTCAGAATAAGAGGCAGTGGACACAAGCTGAAAAACAGGAAATACTGTTTAAACGTAAGGAGTTTTTTTTCTTTTATTACCAATTGAGTCAAACACTGGCACAGGTTTCCCAGAGAGACTGTGGAGTTTCCATCCTTGGAGATACTTGAATCCTAGGTGGACGCAGTCCTAGACAGGTTGTGGTTGTTGACCTTGCTTTGATCAGGGGATTGGACTAGATGATCTTCAGAGATGCTTTCCAGCCACAATGATTCTGAGAATTTCTTGTATTGAGGAAAAGTTGAATTTTCTTACTTCTCTGCTGATTTGTTCAGGCAAGCTATGGTAAGGGGAATCTCAGTTCTGTATGTGGGAAAGTAGTATTACACTGCCTAACCTAATGAACATTGTTTTTATCTCAAGTTATCTTTTTGGATGGTTGGGGTTTTTTTGAACTGTAAGTCACACAACAGGGTCCCAGTCTTGGAATTGTGTTCATGGTAGCTTGGGTAACATACCACAGTACAAATAGGAAGTAAGAAAGAATAAATTCTTGCTCCTAGAAGGTCATGTTACAGTATTTTACATCCACTCTTTACAGATATGATTAGTGTTCACAGAGTTAACCAGTAAAAAATGTTCCAGAGTGTTTTCTCTCACCATGTCCTTTTACAAGCAGTGATTGCATTTAAAAGTTAACTGGTCACTTGAGGGAAGGTTGTAATTAACCACTGCTGTGTTTTTCTGGGTTTCTAGTGAGAAGCAAATAAAATATGATAGTTATTTGGTGCCATTCACCCTGTATGAGTTGGGTCTTCTGTACAAACAACAGGATGAGAGAGAAAAAGCAATAAGATACATAGAAGCTGCAAAGTAAGTGGATTTTTTTTTGAGTAACTTTAACAAAGATGGCGTGTGTGTTTTCTTCCTACCAGCCTCTTTGCAAAATACAAGTAATTATAAATCTGTGTTATTAACTCTGAAAAGTTGTGCAATGTAGTTGAATTCTACGGTTTCAAGAAACTCTGTCCTTCAGACACACTGGAGTAGACAATATCAAACAAGACTCAGTGTGAAGGGAAAATACCTCCTTTTCATTTAGGCTTTAGAGTTGCTGAGGCTCCACTGCATGCATGGGATCAAGCTGGAGAGTGCGGAGAAAGGATCTGTACCACCTCTGTTCCAGAGAGCAGCTGTGGGGCTTACTTCTGCTGCACTAAAGGTGTTAGTGGGAATAGGTTAAAAGCCAGTACACTTCTGACCACCTCCCTTTTTCCTTTCACATCCTGTCACAGAAGAGCAGAGGAGAGCTAAATTTACTGTGGAGCAGCATGTTCCCTTTATCTGTGGATTGTAGTATGGGGCAGAGTTTGCCTCTTGTGTGTCCAGAGAAGTACACCAATTATGCAGTAGTGTTGTAAATGTGAGCTAGAAAGAATCTCCTAAAAATTTTTTAGAAACATAGTAGTTTTTTGACTTTTGTTTGTTTGGATTACATAATGTGATTTCCCTGTGTCGTTACTCTGGCTGAGTTGCATTTTGAATCTGAACATACACTTACAGTTAATAGTCTTTCTTTTCTGTAGTCTTCTAGCTTGTCTTTTCACAGCAAACCAGTAGTTGTGAGGGCTGTTGAAATGATCAAAATAAGTGGAAGAGATGCTAAGACATGAATTCAGTTTATTAGGCCATTTAATTGTTAGTACTGGTATATGTCTGCTCAGTTTGTGGATGTAGCTTTAAATGTCTCATAACTCATCTGTGTATCCATCTCTTTCTTGTTGAAGGAATGAAGGCTGTTAACTTTGGTACTTCAGTGCAGGTATGAAGTAGAAACAATCCAAGTGAAAAATGGATTTCTTAAAATAACTTTATTGTTTGCAGAAACAACTACAAAGAATACTCAATGGAGTCCAGGTTGCACTTCAGAATTCATGCAGCGCTTGACAGCTTGAAGGTGTCACCGGCGTCAACACCTTGAGTGAAGAGGGATCCTTTTCATGCATACAATGCATACAATAGCCTGCACAATCTTTTTGCAATTTTTTTTAATCATGGAAAAGAAAAAAACTAATGCTTGTTTTGTCATCTCTGATTTGATATATGCCATTCCTTTAGACTGTTCTTTTTCTTTATAGTGCATATACTGTACTTGATATTTTAAAGAAGACCTTATATTTTGTTTGATAAAAATAATTTAGTATTTGACTTGACTGGGGGATATTTTAAACAAAGTTGTTGGTGCAATAAAGTTTAATGCAAACTCTTTATTTTTTATATGAAAACAGATGCTGGTTATGCGGTGGAATTGGTGATAACTTCTGCATTTTTTTGAACGTTCGGTTTTCTGCAGTGCATTTGAGACTTTTTTTGGCTCTGGAACAAAAGTGCAGTGTTTGCAGATAACCATACCTACATTTGGCATACCATATTCTGAAGTTTGTGTTCCAGAGGAGGAAAATGTCATCATCTTTGACTTAATTTCATTTTGGAAACAAAATGAACCTGTCTGAAGTGCAATACTTTTATGCTGTCAGATTAAGTTAGACAGGGCTACAGGTTGGTGTAGGCTTTGCAGATCTGTTCCACTCAAAATAAGTGGTTACAGGGGTTATTTTTCAGTCATAGAAAAGCAGTGCTACCAGGGACAGGGAGAGAGATCATGTATTGTATATTCTTGCTCTAAAGCAGAATCAACAGTCTTATGTTGTTCCTGACAGACTTGTTTAACCTGTTTTTTTTAAAAACAAACAAACAAAACCAAAAACCACAACAAACCCTTTCACTAATTGATATTTTGTAACTTAAGCAGGATGTCTTTCCCAGTGGGAGAACACTGGGAAATTTTTCCAGATGTCTAGTCCAAATAATTATTGACACAACTGAAACTGATTTTTTTTCCCATCTTCCCTGTCATGGATCTGGAGAAAGGATTGTTACTTTCCTTTTTTTTGAAGCACGTCTTTTAATATTTGAAGACTAACCTCCTTGTTGGTATTCTTTGTTTTTTGGATTCCAACCAAAATCAAAATCTGCAGAATTTTATTTATTTTCCTAACAATGGGAATTACTGCAAATTAATCATGTATCAAAAAGTTAATCTTAAATTTGGAGTTAAGAAAATATTCATATTCTAACCACAACTTTCTACTTTCTACCAAAAACATGTAATGAAATTGAGATACGTTTATCAGCGTGTGTGGTTTTTTCTTTTCTTACTAGCATGTGAACAGCAGTATCAAATTGAGTTTCCCGGTTAATTTTACATGCAGATTCTGCTAGCTGTCTATTCTTAAAAATAAAAACATACTTGATTTTTATTTAAGTATACACCAAATAACTGTTCTTTCTCTAATTATTGCAAAACTTGCCCATTCCCATATTTTACTAATGCCAGTATATTTTCTTCTGCATAGTAAATTCATATTAACTATGCTCCTGTATGTGATTCTCTGCCCTTAATCCCATCCAAGAAAAACAGAAGAAAAGGAATAGGTGAAAAATTTGTCTTCAGTAAACGAGTAACTGGAAGTTTCTGATTAAACAGTCAATATAATGTAAATGCTTTAGTTGCTCTTCTCAAGTGACTGAGAGCACAGCTTTCTTCTATGACGTTATAAATAACCAAGTTATTTAATTGCATATAAATCTGTAATACAGTGGCATACTTACAGGTGAAGTAAGACTTTAAAAATACTAGCTAAATAAACATAATGGGTCTTACAAAGTGGAAACATGATCCAGAGTCTGTTGTCTTCACTGTTTTGGATTTGTGCCTATTGTAAATGCATAACTAAATAATTGTGTAAAATTATACACATGTAGGTTTGAAGCTTAGGTACCCGAGACACTGAATCACTGATAAAATGCAGCATGCTTATTTTAAAATATATTGACTAGCTAAAGTAAAAAAGATATTTGTCTCTTTCTTAGCAGAGATTAGCATATGCAGCCAACTGACATCTTTAATTACTTGCCCATTTATACATATCTGATTATAAGCTGTAGGCAGCAGAAATATAATTCTGCAAGTTATATTTTCAGATGATACTTCTAATACCTCTTTGGGTATTTACATGTGCAGTTTAGGATTATTTTGGTTTAATGTGATTATTGGATTGTAACAATCAAATGGGACCTCTTCATTTTCTTGTGAAAGGTGGTGAAAGCAATTGCCGGTAAAACTTCCATAACTTGTGTTTCACATAGTAATTCATTCTACAGAAGAGTTAGAAGTGGGACTACAGACTCTTAGAGTGGAGCATGAAGTAGACTCTGATCTGTGGTTTCTGTGGGGAGTGTCTTACAGTTACTATTTGATGGGTGATTCGGGGTAGAAACAAAAAGTAAACAATGAGCTTCATTAGAAGCTGATTTTTTGAGAGTTTAGTGCAAAGTGTCATGCGGCAGTGTACTTTTTTTTTTTTTTCCCACAGATAATGATACTGACTGCAGAGAGAGTGAAAGAGAACTTTGTTTTCTTCAGTTCAACCTTACAAAGTCAATATTAATGCCCTGTGTATGTTACACTTTTCTCTTTTGGGTTCAGCCTTTTTTGCACTCATGCAGAAAACAGACATATCAGTGCAAATTTGCAATAACCTCTGTAGTGTTTTGATGCCCTGAGGTCCCCGGTGTAAGTACTACTCACAGCTTTTCTCCTTTTCTCTGCTGCTGTTCCAAATGTATTTGTTAGAAAGCCAGAGTGTTTCTTAGCTTTATTCTGGATTTTTTTTCCAACATTAACAGTGAAAATATAAATGTGTGAGTGATTTGTAACCCTTCACTTAAGGGAGGTCTCAGTAGAGCTGTAAAGATGTTTTGTTTTCCGAACACTGCAGAAGTGCATGTCTCCCTGATACAATGCATCATTGATGCAGTGTTATTTAGTATATTATGTCTAAGTTAAGTGATTTGTGGCTAAGAGTTCAGAGGAAAAGTCTGTGGCTTTTTCATTTTGGGTTTTTTTTTTTTTTTTTTGCCACTGTATACTGTACTGGGCCTTAAATACAACTGATTTAGTCTTACTGCTCTGTGTAATCTTCACCTCACTTGTGTCCCATGTGAGTTTTGAATAATGTGCTGAAACTGCGCAAGGCTGAGTATTTACCTATGATGCTGTAACCTCTATTGATAGTAGTAGGAATCATAATATATACAAGAGTAAAGTTAAGTCCTTAGTTTAAGCAAGCAAGGCTAAACTTACATATACATATAGTTAAGTTATGACAAAAGGCCGTTCTGATCTTTGTGATGATAGATGTATATTTTTTTTAAGGTGAGAAATATAGAAGTAGCTGGGATATAAGGCAAATCTTCTCTTTGATTAAGAATTATCTACTTAGAAAATATTACAAAAAACTTCTTGCCAGTGCATATGATTCAAATGTTTAGTCTGTTGGTGAAAGATCACTGTATTAAGATTTTTAAGTCCTAGCTCACCACTTTTTAACAAAAATTGAAAGAAAATACATGTTAAAAGAAATCCGATTAAAGGTTGTTTTATACCTGTTCTAATACACATGGGTAGCAGTGTATTTAGCACCTTAGGGCCAGAAAAATGTACAATGATCAGATCCAGTTATGTTTCTGAAACACCCTGCCAACCAGTGTATAAAAGTAGTAATTTCTTGTAGCAAATCCAACTTAGACTTTGCAATTATTTTATTACTAATCTTAACGTTTAGTGTTCTGCTTCTGTATTTTCTTATACTGCATAGTTCAACAAAGAATGTTTATATTTGCGCTGGTGGTGTGGTTTATTTGCTTCTAAACTATTGAGTTTTGCACATGTTCATACCTGCTACTTGAGAAGAAACAATGTCAGAATAATGGAGCATGAGGGATGATGAAGTATGTTCTGGTTTTAAGAGCATGTAGAAATGTTCATTGTGATGCATTGGAATGGACTTTCACTTCAGAGGAATAAATCACTCTTTATGCTGTGCCACTGAGTGCTGAATTTGGCACCTGTATTCTAGTTGTGCATAAAGAACCTTCAGCTGAGGTTCATCAAAAAAAATAACAAAAAAGGCCTGATCTCAAGTTTAAACATGCTATCTTAGGCATAAAGCTGCTCTTATATAACCTGACTAGGCTGAGAGGTTATATAAAGCTAGCAAGGTCTAGGAGAGTATAAAGGGTCTTTTGAAATGTAGAGAGCAAATATAAAGTAAACCTCTTTGATCTCTGGTGAGAAATTAAGACTAGATAATACCTTTAAATGGTATAAAATACAGGAGGGATTAATAATTAACTCATTCTGTTATCAGTTATGTCAATAAATTCAGTGACAACTAGATGTGATGTACTCCTAAGTTGTTTTTTTTTTTAAATCCTGACATTAAAAACAGGGAGAAGATGGTATCTTTACATGTGTGCAGGGCTTGATTTTAGTAACATTTAGAAAAGTAAATGTTCAAAGTTATTTTTTAATGTTAAATGATTCCATAGTAGCATGTAATTTTACCTGATGCTCCCCAGTGAATAGGTCAACTTAATTACCATGGGTTGAATGGTGAGAATGGTGATTATGGTTATCGTAGAACAGAGACAGTAGGTAACTTAGCTCACAGAAAGGCAAAAGAATGGAGATGCTCCTGTACACTTGTTGCTGTCTCTAAGACACTAATTTACTCTCCATTATGAGACATACCATAGTCCAGAATAAAACCTTTGTAGCTAGAGTGCTTGCAGAGCATTTAATAAAGGAAGTGTGTTGAATAGAAGAAGAAAAAGAAGACACACTGAAGAAAGATACAAGCACAAAACCAGGAACTACATCTGCATTCATGAAAGCATTTGGGAGAAGTTATGTTACATTTATGAGTCTTAAGCTATAGTCATCTGATCAACACTTGGACTTCCTGTATTCCAGCCAGGGGAAGGATATCAGTGGTGCTGGGGACCTTAGCTCAGTTTGGTTGTTTGTGGTGGTTTTGGTTGTTGGTGAAAACGTTCTTTTTTTTTTGTTTTTAAATT